CACCGGCATTCCCATCCCCTCCCCGGAGGTGCTGGGGCACCCCACAACGAGCATCTCTCCTCCTGCCCCTACCCCCGCCGGCTCCCCGGTTCTTTTGGGGACGAGATCGGGTCCCCAGCCCCCCGTGGACCCCCTGCAGCCCCCCCGGGGAGGCCGGGAGCCGGTGCCGCAGCCCCCCGGGAGCCACCAGCCCGGCCCCTCGGTCTCCTCCGGCTGTCCCCGCAGTGTCGCCGCGCCTCGCTCCTCCCGGAGGAGCGTCCAGGCGGGTGGAAGTCTGAGCACAATGAGACCTGAGAATTTCTGTCACTCTCTGCATATGGTCCGAAGTGCTTTAATCCCAATTAGGGGCGGCTGACACACGGTCCTATTCATCCCAATCAGCTCTTGAATACATTTGCCTAGAAATGAACTTCACAAATAGACTCTCCCCTAAATGTGCCCAACAGCAAGGAAAATCGAATTGAGGCAGGGGCTCATTCTGAGGCGATCGAGGGAGAAAAGGTATGAATTTATAAGGTACACCGAAACATTGCAATTCAGCAACAAGTTTACTGACTTTTATTTGCACCATGTCAACCGAAAGAACCAAGAGATACGGCGGGGGCTGCGGGGGGAGAATCCGGTTAAAAGGCAACTTTAGACAGACTTTGAATACTTTATGCGGCCAGTTTCGCCTCCAATTGAAGCTGGGCTAAAAGGGAAAAAAAAAAAATCTCAGTCTCTACACTGGAATTTTTAACTAGCACAAAACGTGTTTGAATCCGATCTCGGCCGGCGCTCGCGACTGACAATAAGAATACCAAACTGAGATCCTGTCATCTGCCGGGGTTCCCATAGAACCTGAATTACCATTCACAGGCTGCTTTAATATCCCACCCGCATCTCGTCTGCACCGCACAGCTGGGTGGGAGCCGACAGCCCCGGCCGCGGCCGGCGGCGGCCCCTTCCCAGAGCATCGGGTCCTGGGTGGGATGTGGGATGGGGTGTCCCTGGGGAGGGGATGGGAATGGGAATGGGAAGGGAAGGGAAGGTGAAGGGAAGGAAGGGAGGGAAGGGAAGGGAGGGAAGGAAGGAAGGAAGGGAAGGGAAGGGAAGGGAAGGAAGGGAAGGGAAGGAGAAAGAATGATTCAGGAAAGTAGCTGGAAGGGGGGGAGTGGCTGAAAAAAAGGGAGAATAAAATGGCAAAAGAAGAGGGGAAGGAAGGAAGGAAGAAGGAAGGAAGGAATGAAGGAGGAAGGAAGAGAAGGAAGGAAGGAAGGAAGTAGGAAGGAAGGAGGAAGGAAAGGAAGGAGGGTAATGAGAGACGAGAGGGAAAGAAAGAAAGGAACGGAAAGGAAAAAGGAAAAGGAAAGGAACAAAAGGAAAGGAAAAAGGAAAGGAAAGAAAAAGGAAAGGCCAGGCAAGGCAGAAAGGAATCCAGGAAAGGAAAGGAAAAGGAAAGGAAGGAAAGGAAAGGAAGGAAGGAAAGGAAGGGAAGGGGAAGGATGAAAAAGAGAAAGGATCACGTCCCGGCCGGCCGTATCAGTCCCTTCCGCCGCTCCGACGGGGTCTCCCCCGGGAGAGGTCTCGGCACGGCCCCAGGCAGGGCCGTTCCGGGCCGATGCGGGCCGGGCCGGGGCGCTCCGTGAAGGGGCAGCCTGGGAGCCGGCGGCTCCGCTTCCCGGCGAGGCAGCGGCTGCTGGCTGCACTTGCAGCGTTTCGCTGAAGGCCGCGCCGTGGTGCTCGGCGGCATAATGAGCCGGGCCCTGTATACAGGCATTCATGCTGGCCTGAATGTGGTGTTGAACCTTCTCTGTGCCGGAGCGGTTTGCTGGTTTGAATGGAGCTCCCTGGTGGGACATTGCTCGCTGCAACTGTGCCTCTTTGGATGACTGTTGTTCCTTAACATTCATGCCTCATTATGGGGCAACCTGTTAAATCAGGGAGAACAGTGTGCCAAAGTGTTACTCAGGGGCACTGGCAGTTCAGCGGTGGGCATAAATAAGGGCTGCCGGGGAAAATAACTTTCATCGCATCTCTGGGCAAAAGTGATTTCGCTTTAATGGTGCCTCTAGTAGCCCGGTTTAAGTATATAAAGAGCGATAGTGGAATGTTTTGATTGAGTCTAAACATTGTCTTTGAATAAAGCTGAAACCATGTAATTAATGTGTCTTTTTAATAAGGGACAATACGGCCGTTCAAGCTATTTAATTTCATTTAATTTTCCATCCCATTTGCTCCAAAGGCTGCTTTTACTTTTAACACCCGGCCTTTCATGCTGCATCTTGCTCCAGTGGGCACATTAGATCGGTTTCACCCTTCCTTTTTAGGGAAGGAAAAATAAAAGAAAATGTGGTTCCTTTCCTCTTTTGTGGACAATTTATTTCACTTGGGGAACTTCAACTTTGAGCCACAGGACAGAATAAAAATCGGAGAACTGGTGTGAATGCTTCCAGAGCAAGGGCTTTTCTTTTCTGAGTGGATGGGAACCAGCCACAATTGGCTATATTAATAAATAACTTTCCTCACAGTCGGCCTTTACATGGTCCTATTGATAAAATTGTTCGCGTGTCGTTCACGCTTTTTGACTCATTAAGGCCTCGGACGGAGCGGCTCCCGAAGCGGAGCAGTAGGGTACCTTGGGCGTCTTGAAAGCCCTCTCTCTACCTCTGCGGCTCTCGGAATTCAACCCGGGGCTCATCCTAAAGTCGCTGGGCCAGAGGTTACAGGGACATGTTCATGGCTTAAATTTATTGCCCTCGACTTCTTGTTTATCCTTTTCTCCCCATTCACGCCGCTGATCAAAGGGGTCATCTTCAGTTCCCCACATCCTCTCCCCCCTTCCCATCCCTGCCGAAGTGAAAAAGAAATCACCGCAGCCCCGGGACGGGCCCTACAATTGCGCCCCGGCGAGCCGCGATCGATAATCATTAATGCTGCTGGGGACAGCCGCGACATTTATCTCGTGCGGGCGCATATGTAGCGCTATTAAAAATGCGCCCACGGCCTGCGCTGATTAGTGCCGGCCGGCGGCCACGGGGCAGGCGGCGGCGGCGGTGTCCTCCTGTCCCGTCCCGTCCGTCCCGCCTTGCTTATTCCCATTTTATCCCATCCTAACCCATCTCATCCCAATCCCATCCCGCCTCGCCCCGCCCAGCCCTGTCCCGTTCCGTCTCCTTCTGTCCTGTTTTGCTTCTTCCCACCCCACCCCATCCCATCCCACCCCACCCCACCCCACCCCATCCCATCCCATCCATCCCATCCATCCCATCCCATCCCATCCCATCCCATCCCATCCCATCCCATCCCACCCCACCCCACCCCACCCCGCCCTACCCCACCCCACTCGCCCCATCCCTCCGAACAACCCCCTCCCTCTCTCGGCGCCCCCTCGGGCAGACCTTTTCCCCTTTCTCCCCGCGAAGCCGTGGGCTCAAAATCGCTGTGGTCCCTCGTGCACAGCCGCGTGGGGCCGTGGCCTTTGCTCTGGCGGTGACACTCGTGACCGCGGCCAGCAGAGCCGGGGACAGCCCGCACAGGCGGTCACATCGGAGGCAACCCGCCCAGGTGGGTCCTGCAGGGAGCGGAGTTACCGAGGAGAGCCGGCTCAGTTACCTATAGCACCTGCTGTGAGATACACTTCTAAGCGTAGCTTTTTTTTTTTTTCCCCCTTTGCTTTGAAATTTATTAGGTCTGACTATTAGAAAAACCGCAGGAGGAAAAGCTCCGTATTCACAGAAGCTTTTGAAAGCGATGGATAAAATCAGTATGCGGGACTTCTCAGTGAGAAGAGAGAAAATTTCCTAATGCTTCTTTTTGGGGACTGATAAGGTGTAGGGCAGGGAGAGTTTGCTACCAGGAACTAGGCAGGGTTATAAAAGAGAAAGTGGAAAATCTAATTTGTCCCTGTATTCTCTGGTGTAACTGGCACCGCCGGGTGGCTGCGTGTGCCCAAACCTACCAGGGTCTTGCACCTTTCCTTTCAGTTCCCGGAAAATCCTTGGGATTTTACCTGTCCTGAATCGTGAGCTAACTTAGTCCTAGCGCTGCGTTTAATCTTAATTAAAATATTTCGATAAAAAGGAAGCTTTCAGGCTCCGCTCGAACCACTTCGTTCCGGCTGCATTTACGGTCGCTTTTGGTTAGGTTTGGCCCCAGAAAGCGATCCCGGTGCTTTAAGGTGGAAGAGGGACCTGTGGATGCACTAAGCAAGGAGCCCAGGCGCACGCCGTTTGCTGGGCATCTGCGATTTCTGCTGGCCGTGTATCTGTCTCCTGGTGGCTGTTATGTCTCTATTTCCTAGCGGATCTGGTTCCTAACGGCACGACTTACACAGCTTCCCCGCAGCTCGCAGATGCGGCGGTGTGTGTTTTACTGCGGCGGCTGATATTTTGCGCTGTTCGTCCTACTTCAGGATCAAAGCCTTTCTAAATAGATTACTGGCCTGAAACCAAGCCACTGAAATGGTAATATGGTCGATCCTAAAAAAAAAAAAAAAAAAAAAAAGTGTAGGTATTTTCTGGTGTTTTCCCATCAAGTACCTGCCCAATTTCTGTATGGCACACGCCAGGAATCAATAGAAGTTAACAAGTCCTCAAAACATTCCCCATCTCTTTGTTTAATCTCCTTTACAATAAAGCCAAGGGAAGAGAATTAAAAATCTTTGAAGTATATTAAACCTCAAAAGGCTCAGCCAAGTAGACTTAAAATAGTCACTTATTTTCCAAAACTGGTTTGTCGAGGAACAATAAAAGGAAGCAAAATTTATGGAGAAATTATACAGTGGATTTGTCACTTAAAATATCGTAACTGTCTCGGGGACAATACCCCATGCTGAGGATTAATGGTCCCTCCAGACCTTTGATTCACCAGCGCCTTTTCTTTGCCCTTGACAAATTGGATTTTTAGGAATGGGAAGGTCGCCTGGCCCATTGTTTGCCGGCCATTCACAGCGCTTGATTATGCAGGAGGGTTAGGGAAAGGCTCCATGTGACCCTCTCGGATGGGACTCTGCAGCTGCTCGAGGAGCCCAACTCTCTCACCAAACTCTGCGCCCCAGAGCATCCCCCTGCCACGGGGTACCCCTCCTGCGCCCATTGAAAAGCCGCCGTGCGCGCCCGGCCGCGTCACTCTGCGGGCGGAGATACGCCTGTGCTCATCCTCCTCGCCGCCTGGCTCTGGCAACTCCGGCCCCCATAAGTAGTTTGGGTTCCCGACCGCTCGCACCCAGAGGCAGCGATGCAAACGAGCAGGGCTCCGGCCATCAGCGTGAGCGCGGAGAGCTGCATCCCCGCCGGGCTGCGCCTGGGTCCCGTGCCGGGCATCTTCAAACTGGGCAAGTACCTGTCAGACCGCAGGGAGCCAGGACCCAAAAAAAAGGTATTTTCCTACGGTCTCCGCTGCAGCGCTGGACCTTGCTTTTCCGTTGACTCAGGGGAAGCCGGCTTGGGAGAAGAGGCTGCCTGTCCCCCTCCCTCTTCGATCCTCCCTTGCCAGAGTGAGCCAGGACGAGACAGGGGAGCCTTCCAAGAGTGGCCCGAGATTTCTCCTTGCCGCTTTGGCGAGCCACCAAAAGCTTCTCCCCTGCTCGCCGGCGCCGGGGCCCCGTTAGCCCGGCTGGCTCTCCCGGAGGAGCGCACCCCCAAGCCTTGGACAGCGACTTGGGGGGACTCTCGGGGGCCGCCAGTGCCCGCTGCCCGGTGCCCGCTGCCCGGTGCCCGGTTCCCGGTGCCCGGTGCCCGGTTCGCGGTGCCCGATTCTTGGTTCCTGGTTCCCGGTGCCCGGTGCCCGGTGCCCGAGGGCGCTGCTCTCGCCGCCGCGCCCCTCGCAGCCCCCGGCCGCCCCCGTCCCGGGGGGCTCCTGTCTCCGGGGCACTGTCCCCATCCCTCCTCGCGGGGACAACCTGCCGGGGACGGCCCCCCCCGCCGCCCCGCCGGCCGCACGGGCCAGGATTTGTCACGGTTTGCTCCCGGAGCCCCGGCGGCAGCGGCTGTCGGGGCTGTCGCATCCCCTCCCCGGTTCGTGCCCGAGCGGCAGACGGATGGATTTATTTCCAGGCTGGGCTCTGTGCCCCCCTCCTGCGGGCGCTGCTCCCCGATAACCCTCGCACCCAGGGCAGAAGGGGGTGACACCGGCCACCCCCCCGGCTCCGGGGTCGGGCCATGTCCGAAGGAGCGAGGAGGAGGCTTTGGAGGACGCTCGCCCCGTCCAGCAGGCGTCCAGGGGGCTGGGGGGGCCAGTGGCCAGCCGAGCCCCTCTTCCACCCCCCGGGCAGCCGCGGCTCGCACGTTCCGCTCGGATCTTTAATGCCCTTTAATTGTTTTTAAACGCTCTGCCAGCCCACTCAAATTTATTTCTCATCTGGCTCCCTCGGTTTCTCGCTTTAGACCGCTTTGTTCCAATGACTTTTATTGCACGGTCATTCAGCGAATGGGCACTTCATTTTCTCTTTGTATGGGTAAGCAGATTATGAAGTATGGGTCTGCAGGGACTTCGTAGCTAAGCAGGATCCTCTCCCCTCGCCCCTTTCCCCCTCCGGGCTCCGGCTCCCGACGAGCCGTGCATTTCGCAACCGACCCGGGGCCGCACAAGCCCTTCCAAAAATTCGGGTACCACCGCCTTAGCGGGCACTTAACGCAGCGGCAAGGTGCTTTGGGGTGTTCCCCTGGTCTCCAGCAAGGCGCTGCCCACGGGTGGGCGAGCACGGGGGGGGAGAAGCGGTGGAAAATCGGTGTCCCCCGACGGGGGCAGCCCCCGGGTGGAGGGGACAGGCCGGCCGGGCAGGGGCTCGGGCAGCTTTTATTTTTATTTTTTATTTTTTTGCTTTCTTTTCTCCTCGCCTCGCGTGGAAATGACAGCGATGCCGCCTGTCTTCCAGGTGCGGATGGTGAGAGGGGAGTTAGTGGATGAAGCCGGGAGCTCAGCTCTGGAGTGGATAGGGTTAATCCGGGCTGCCCGAAACGCCCAAGAGCAGACACTGGAGGCTATTTCGGATCTGCCAGGAGGACAGGTACCCCGCTCGCGGCTCCGGGCCGGCCTGGCACCTCTCTCTCCCCCCCGCGTCCCCTCTCAAGGCTCCTGAAGAAGTGTCCTTTCTCCCCCCCCAGATTTTCTACCGGGCCCTGCGCGATGTCCAGCCGGGAGAGGAGCTCACCGTCTGGTACTCCAACCCCCTGGCTCAGTGGTTCGACATCCCCGTCACGGCCACCCCGACACACGACGAGAAAGGTACTGCTGTCGCGACACCGGGTCCCCCCCATCCGCCGCGTTTTCAGCCCCGTGTGCCTGCCACCCGTTAAAACAAGGAGCCTCCCGGTTCCTTTTAAAGGGCGATGTTTGGACGTGGTAGCGTATGGAAGGGTCCCCGTCCCTTGAGCCGGTCCTGCATCGGCCCAATTTAATGATCTTTTGGTTGACAAACGGAATTTTATCAGACAACGCCAGCGGTGTTGTGCGGGACGGAGAATTGTTTTTGTGGGTTTTGAAAATTCCGCTTTGCCCTCGTGGGTTCCTCGGTCAGAGCTTCAGACACGCATCCCCAGCTTATAACGTGGGCAGAGCCGCACAGGCAGGTGAAAACGGGCAATGGTCAGCTTGAGTCAATTAGGGTAAAAATAAAGTCGGCATCAAATTAAACTCAAATAAACACGCCCGGGATATCGGGCTGGGAGGACATCCGTCTCGGCTCGCTTGTTTCGATCCGCGAGCTGCTTCCCAGCTGGAATTACGCCCTCGCCTTTACGATGTTAAAGAAACGATAACGCGGCGACAGATGAAAAGGGGGGAAAGAAGACGAAAAACTTCGATGCTCGTCTGCTGGGCTCGCCCGGCGGTGGGCACCGGGGGCCTCCCCTGCTCATCCCCGAGCCCCGATGGGGCGAGGAGCCGGGGCCGTCCCGTCGGAGCCGGCGAGGGGCTGAGCCCACCTCGCCCCCCGGCTGAGCTCTGCGGGGGTCATCGGGATCCGGCCCGGAGGGCACCTGAGGGTGAGCTGAAGCTCCGGGCAGGGCCAGCTGGCTTCCCGTGGGACACCTGCGATGCGCAAGAGCCCACACCCCTCCTTGTGCTGGGGCCGGAGATGGAGAAGAAACTCGTGGCCACGGCTCTGCTCCCTCTGTCGAGAGCCCTGGGGCTGAGGAGGGTCGCAGCGGGGCTCGTGGGAACCAGGGCAGCGAAGCTCAGACTTGCCAGGGGCACCCTGCGGGAGGCATCGTCCTGCTGGCGGCCAGGCACCAATAAATTGCACACCGGCCCCGGTCTGCGGCCACGCCGGCTCCAGAGCAAGCAGCACGGCTCGGAACAGGTGCATGGAAATGCCCAAACACATCTGGAAGGACGGCACGCTGGAAGAAACCGAGGGGAAGAAATTCCGATTTTATTTTTTTTTTAAAACAACAAAATCAAAACCACTTGAAATCTTGAACAAACGTGTTAGAATTGATTTTAACACAACAACAAAGATTTTTTTTAATTATTTTTTTTTCTTTTTTATTATTTTTTTTCTTTTTATTTTTTTCGTTTGCTTGCATTTTTCCTGCCCTGGGCCGGGGACAGCGGACGGACGCGCACAGCCAGGGGTCTCTCCGGGGCCGTCTCCCCGCTTCGCAGCGCCAAGGCAGCGGCATCGGTGTCGCGGCTCAGCCTCCAGCTGCAGCTTTCTCCCCGCCCGGCCTGAGCCCACCTCAGCCCCCCGCTACCTGCAGGCTGCCTACGGCATGGAGCATCGAGGACACTGCCGACAAAACGCCCGGTGTCAATCCGGGCTGTCCCCGCCTGTCCCCAGGACCCCCCGGTGGCCGTGCCCGAGCCCCGCTGCACCCCTCGGTGCTCGCCCAGGGACCCCGTGAAGCTCTCGGGTCCGGAGCTGTCCCTCGGTCTGGTTCGGCGTCTGTCCTCCCGTCCGTCGGGTTGGTGCAGGGGCAAGCACCAGGTGGTGACATGCGAGGCGGGCAACAGATTTTAGGGACCGAGGTGGCGTTGGGAATGTGTGCTTGGGTGGTTTAGGGACTGGGATGAGGGAGGGAGAGGGACAGAGAGGGGAAAATAGATATAGAGGGGAATAGAGAAGTGGGAGAAGGAGAAAAGGGGAAAGAGAAAGGTGGGGAGAGAGAGATGGAAGGAAGGAAGGGAGAGAGAGAAGGAAAGAAAGAAAGAAAGAAAGAAAGAAAGAAAGAAAAAGAAATGTCAAGAAGAATGTCAGGAAGAAAGAAAGAAGGAAAGGAAAAAGGAAGAAAGAAAGAAGGAAAAGGAAGAAAGAAACGACAGAAAGAAAGGACCGAAGCTAGAAACGGCAGGAAGAAACGACAGCCGAGGGGCAGCGAGCGAGGCACCCGGCCCCACAGCGAGCCCCCGGCCGCCCCCGGTGCCGCTCCCCGGGCAGCTCCGTGCCGGACGGGACCCGCGGCTCCCCGGCACCGGGCCCGGCCGCGGGCACCGAGCTCGGTTCCGCCTGGGAGAAGGCGCAGTGCGGAGGGCACAAAGGGCATTGTCCTCCGCAAGGGAACGATTACATATGGCCCATCCATATCGGATATTGTCTCGGCGCCTAATGAGGGGCTCACGATCATTACGTTGGCCTTTGTTCGGCGCAGCCGACTCCCTGACATACGCTACCTCTTGTGCAAACGCCAACAGATGGGCCCCCCGACAGACGACCCGCGGCAGCAGCTGCTCCCCCCGGGCCGGGGCCGGGGCCGGGGCCGTGCGGGGAGGGGGTTGCGGGGTTGCGGGGTGCGGGGTGCCGCTGACGGTCCGCTCCGCTTGCCTCCGCAGGGGAGGAGCGGTACATCTGCTGGTACTGCTGGAGGACCTTCAAGTACCCCAACAGCCTCAAGGCCCACGTCCACTTCCACTGCGCGCTGAGCCACGGCCGCCCCTTCCTCCACCACGACCACGGCCGGCCCGCCGCCGCCTCCTTCGGCCTCTCCGCCAAGGCGGCCGCCGAGCTGCCGGCCGCGGCCCCCCGGGGCCCGGCTCCCCCCGGCTGCGGCCCGCGGGAGGCCCTCAAGCGGGAGGCCGCCGCCTCCCCGCCGCCTCCGGCCAAGCCGGGGCCGCCCCGTCGGGGGGCGGGCAAGGAGGAGCAGGAGCGCGCCCTGGACATGAGCCTGGGCGCCGCCCGCGGCCCGGGCCCGCTGCCGGGGCTGGGGGGGGGGCCGGGGCTGGCGCTGTGCCCCGGGGCCCGCTCGGCTTTCCGCCCCGCCGGGCCGCTGCGGGACGAGGCGCGGGGGGCCGCCGCCGCCGCCGCCGCCCTGGGCTTCTCCAAGCTGCTGGGGGGGCTGAAGGCGGGGCGCGCCGCCGTCGAGGCGCCGCCCAAGTGCGAGGCCGGGCCTCCCCCGGCCGCCTCGGTGGGGGCGGCCGTGGGGCTGCCGTGCGGCGGCGGGGGGCTGCGGGCCCTGCCGCTGCTGTCGCCGCTGGAGGAGGCGTCGGCTTTCCGGCAGGTGGAGCGGGGGCTGCCCGGAGCCGCGGCTCTGCCCCCCGGCCGCTACCCGGCGCTGCCCGGAGGAGCGCTGGAGCGCTTCGCCCTGCCGCCGCCCTTCGAGGGGCTGAAGGCGTACGCGGGCGAGTGCGGGCTGCCGGTGATGCCGCTGACCGTCTACAACGGGGAGCTGCTGTACGGAGCCGCCGCGCCCTACTACCCGCTCAAGCTGCACCTCGGCGGGCTGCTCAAGTACCCCGAGGCCGTGTCGTACTTCGGGGGGCCGGCGGCCGGGCTGCACGCCGCCGAGCTGGGCTCGCTGGCCGGCATCGACCGGGAGATCGCCATGCACACGCAGCAGCTCTCCGAGCTGGCGGCCGAGAAGGGGCGAGGGCGGCTGGAGGCGCTGCCGGGGGGCGCGGCGGGGGGCGCCGTCGGCAAGCCCAAAAGCGGGCACCTGTGCCTGTACTGCGGCAAGCTGTACTCCCGCAAGTACGGGCTCAAGATCCACATGCGGACTCACACGGGCTACAAGCCGCTCAAGTGCAAGGTGTGCCTGCGGCCCTTCGGGGACCCCAGCAACCTCAACAAGCACATCCGCCTGCACGCCGAGGGCAACACGCCCTACCGCTGCGAGTACTGCGGCAAGGTGCTGGTGCGGCGCCGCGACCTCGAGCGGCACGTCAAGTCCCGGCACCCGGGGCAGAGCCTCGGCAAGGCGGCCGAGGACAAGAGTGACTCTGGCTACGCGCACCCCGAGCCGGAGCAAAAGACTGACAACGACAGCGACGTCGACGTCTGCTTCACCGACGACCAGAGCGACCCCGAGAGCGGCGGCGGGCACCGGCAGCAGTGAGCCCCGCTGAGCCCCCGGCCCCGCGGGGCCGTCCCGGGGGAGGGAGTCCCGGGGGTGGCGGGGGGAGACGGGCCCCGAGCCCCCCGGTGGCGGCGGGGCAGCGACGGGGAGCGCCCGACCCGTCCCGTCCCGTGCCGTCGGACACCGCCCCGGGGCCGGGAGGGGGGCCCGGGCGGCGCCCCTCGTTTGCTCGTATGGCGTGTGGAGGAACCTGTGCCTTCTGGAAGCGACTCTTTGCTATGTGCTCTCCTCTCTCCTAGCGGCCCGAGCTGGGGGGCTCCGCGCCAGCCCCGGCTGAGACCACCTCTGGCATCCTACGCTTTGTTGGACACCCCGGAGGTGTTTTCTCGGGTCCTAATAAAGCGATGCCGACAGCTTTTCGGAAAAGAGGAGAAAAAAAAAAAGCCCTGAGGAGGTTCGGATGCGGTAACAACCAGGTGCACCATTTGATCGAGTTGCAATTATTTATAACAGATAATATTTGATCAACAAATGTAAAATAAATATTGAAAAGCATGAGTCTAAAAGCACGCACTATATCATTTTAAAGGAAACACACTCGCTGTTTGGTAGAATACAAATGTGGTGTATGTTTGTTTTCTAATGAATGATGTACAGTGGATACAGTATTTTGGTCTTGGTTCCAGTTTGTCATGCGATTTTTTTAAAAAAAATAAAGTTACTGACAAACTACCGTTTGCCTAGTGGTTCGCTGGGTGCTGTCAGCAAGAGCTCGGTTTTCCACGTAGTGCTCAGATCCTGCTCTGTGCAGTGCCTTTGGATTACGCTTTAAAGAGCTGTATTTAAAGCTGTATTTAATACTCCCTGAGTATTTTCTCTGTGTTTTCCTCCTTTCGCTCGGGAAAACAAACGAGCAAACAAAACCCGATCCGTATGCCCACGACTTTTAGAAAACATTAGTTTCCGAGCAGGGCCCGTGCAGGGATGTGAGAGGCTGGGCTTTGCTTTATTTTTTCGTGTTCTGCAAACCTGCTCCTGCTGCAAGCGCTCCCTGTCAGGACCGCTGTTAGTGCAACCGTCTGAGGGAAACACCACCCGTGCTTCCTTTGGAATGGAAATCCTGAAATACTTTCAACTGAAAAAAAAAAAAAAAAAAAAAAAAACCAAAAAACTCGGAAAAATAACCTAATTCCCCTAGAAAGTCCCCCAGGTCCCCACGCAAAACAGTGAGGCGCTGCCGAGCGTGGCGGGGCAGCCACGCAGCTCTGCCACCCCAGTCCGGCTGCTGCTTTCCGGGGGATTTTGACCTCGGGGGAGTCCCAGGAGATGGGAGAGCCCCATGAATTGTGATTTTGGGGAGCCCACGACCCCTGTCAGATGGTAAGATGAACAATTCCCATTGAGTTGGGGAGTCAGGGTTCCCGGGAACAGGTCCCCTTTCAGCCTGGGTTGAGGAGCTGCAAAGCAAAACACAGATTGATTCCAGCATCCGAGAGAAACTCGGATACGAACGGACCTGCCTTTTGCCCACCGAAAGCCAGACATGCCTGACACTAATAGGAAACGGAAATTCGAATGCCAGGCTTGGATTTCCTATAAAGGCTTGAATTAGATTACAAAACTGGAGGATTCAGGTGGTTTTATTTTATTTTATTTTATTTTATTTTATTTTATTTTATTTTATTTTATTTTATTTTATTTTATTTTATTTTATTTTATTTTATTTTATTTTATTTTATTTTATTTTATTTTATTTTATTTTATTTCCCTGAACTATTGTACTAAATACCCACCTACTCGAATCGCTTTTATCCCGGGACGCAGATTTGTGTTTCTGCCGTGAAAACAAATGGAGCAGACCCGCCCGGGGCCCCAGGAGGACGGCAGGATCTCACCCCCACCTCCGGTGGATCCCTACCCCTTTATTTACTTGTTTATTTCAGTATTTAGCTGCCGGGGCCCCCAGGGAAGCTCGCCGTGCGGGTGCTGCCGGGGAGAGGTGCGTGACGTCACATACCCTATGACGTCATGGCCGTGGCGTCAGAGCCGAGCCGGGCTCCCAAATTCTTGCGGCTCCCCCGTGGGTGTCCACGGGCGGCAGCGCAGGAGAAGCCCCCCGGCAGCCCGCAGAGGGGGAGGCTGCGGCGGGGCGGACTCTGGTTGCCCCCCGTTTGGAAACGTGGCTCTGCGAGGAGGTGGGAAAATGCAGGCGGCCCAAAGAGGCTGCCTCGGCCAGGAAAAAAAGAGCAACTGGCTTTGCTTCCCGGATTTGTAATTATTTGTTGCTACACTACACCTTCTGCGCCTTATAATGTGGAGAAAATAATTAACCACGTTTACAAAAAAAAAATCTTTCTAGCTGAGAAAAACATGCTGTTTTGATGTATTTGATTTCTTCTTTGTAAAGAGGAAAGTACACCTGAAAAGAATGGCAGCAGGGTTGAAGAAGAATTGTCCTTTAAGCGTCACTCCTTGACAGGTTTGTTTCCTCAAGGGCCACAGAAATTAAATGCAGGGGTTCTGTGTTTTATTTTCTATGGGAGAACTCAAAGGTTATCTGAGTAAAATTGAACAAAGAATAATGAAAAGCTGCATTTTTCAAGTGAAGTATAGGACATTGTGTGCTGGCTGGAAGTCAAGAGCAGTGTGGAATACCCTGGGATGGCTTTTGGACGTTGTTAGAAACCAGTTTAAATGTTCTGGAAATCTATCTCTCAGTTTCCAAATAATTAGTTCTAAACCTCAGGTATTCTTGCAGAAAAAAAAATGATTTGATTAAACTTTAATTTTATTTTATTATTTTTTAACTGTTTTGGTGACTTTTTGACTTACCCTATATTAGTCTGTAAATGGAAACTGCAACAAGAAGTCCGGGTGCATCTGGAAGGAGGAGTTTAAGCAATGCCAAGAAGCAGACTGTAAGGTTCTTGGAGGTGATCTTAGTCTCCCTTTGATTTTGTTTTTGCTATGAAACTCTGCCATATATCTTATTAGTCAATACTGCAGTTACTTAATGACTGTCGTGTCCATAGCCTGAGGGTACACATGGCTGAGATGCAGGGCTGGATCTTACAGAGCAGAGATCCAGATCTCACTGCTCTTAACTTGCCAAATAGCAGCTTTAAACAACCTGTCAAGTACCCTGATTTTGTAAAGGTGCTGAATACTTGCTCTTCCCAGTGAAACTAACAGTGCTTATTTAAAATTTGTCAAGCTCTTTGACATATAGGTGAAAAATCATGAGAAAGGAAGTGGATGCAGCCTGATGGCATGCAAATGAGTAGGTTTTGGTTGCTTGCAATTCTCAGTGAACATTTAATCACTGCTGAGCCAGAGAATGGCTTGATGTACTTAAAGGTATATATCTTCAAAGCTTTCTACACTAATCTCATAAATTCACACAGATGTGATCTGATCAGGAAACTCTGACCCTTACACTGAAGCAGGTATGAAAATGTGAGTGTTTTTAAGGGTCTCTTGCTAAGGACACAACTCTGATGTGAGAAAGAAATAATTTATTGGTTCAGAAAATGAATTCATTTGGGTACGTTAACGTTGAAAACATTTCTATGGAGCTGTTTTTCTATTTTCACTAGAAATTGTGTTCTTGGAAGTATGTTTTGAAATAGTGGCTTTATTCCTAAGCTTTATTTCCAACATGAAAAAGAAACCCCAAGCCTGCACCTGACAAAGTGAGCAGAAAGCCTTGGATTCAGAATTCCTATGTGACAGGGAGACGTGGGGAAGAAAGGAAGTCTGACTGTGCTTGTCTTTAGGTCAGGGAATGGTGAAAGTCAAGGATTGTTTTTGATCTTTTTGTTTTCCTCAAAACTGTCTGAAAAGAGTGATTTTAAACTTGACTGAGAGCAGTTACTTCCCCGAATTATCACCTGAAGGAAAGAGCAACATGCCAAGGCCAGGTTCAAGCTCACTGGAGTTCATTGGACCATAGCAGATAAAATCTAGGAGCAACAAAATGCTTTCAGGTATATTCAAAGTCAATCCAATGAGGAATGATTCCCTACAGCATGTCGGATGTTATAAAGTTGTGTTTTACAAGAAACAGGAGGTGGAAGATTCTTAACAACTGAAAAACACAGAAAAAAAAAGGACTACTAGATCTGAGGTATATATTCAGTATATATTCAGCTATGTTTAGTGTTGAGATTATGAAATATGGAAAATTGAGCAAAGTTCACACATTTTTTTTTTTTTTTCCCTGTGGACTTGTAGCTGTGTATTTTGTTTGTTTATTTTATGTTTCACAATTTTTTATCTGTTCAGGTTTGGAATGTGCTATTCCATTTTCATGGCAATGGAAAGGCTTGTATCTATATTCTTTCTTAGAAACTGTAGACTGCTTGCGCCTGGGAAGAGTGATCTGCTACCAGGTGATCTGAAGTTTCACTTTGAAATGGAGAAAATCTGATTTAGAAAAGCAACATTAATAAACTAAGGTTTTGTGTGCTAAGGAACAGTTCACAGTGGTTTTTTTTTTTTTTTTTTTTAGTTTTTACAGTTACATGTGTTTACAGTTACATGTGGAAAATACTACGAAGAATGGGCAAAGGTAAAGCCTGGAAAAACATGCTGTTCTACTCTACACACTTCATGCTCCTTTGTGGTTAGTAAAACCTGCTGGGGATTTTAATGTTGGAGCGTATGGCTGGTGTTGGTATCATGAACAATATTTTTAGCTCTATCCAGAAAACTGTACAAAAAACACACTTCAGCTCTCAGTCCTTTCTGTGCAGAAACTTCCACCTTCCCAATTTCCAGGGCTCTAAGCTATGCAGTAGCTCACCCACCCACCCACAAAAAGGCAGACGGTGTTTTTGAGTTTATTTATTGAGTCAAAGAGGTTGGATACTTCAAGGTTCTCAGAGGTACTTCACCAAAGATCTTGCTAGCCACTGCACAGGGCTAAAGCACCCTTCTGAGAACACGCATTTACAGCTAAGCAGCAACTTAAAATTGTGTCCAAATAGCTATGCAACTGATGGTTGGTATACAGTTTGTGCATTTTGTCTGTAGAGAGAGCACTTCACTGTAGAAATAAGCAAACCAGATATTTTTGTTTGAAACAAAGGACTCTGGAGACCA